CGTTTCTTTGGAGTTTCGCCAGAATGCAAAGGACGTAGACCGAAAGAATTTCCTTTACATTGAATATCTTATCCGTCGAGGAAAGAAGCAACTTGAGCAACTCAAAAGTGCAGATACTGTTGGATTATCTACCATAAAGGTTAGTCTACAAGAAACCCTGAAGATGTCTGACCTTCATTTATTTATTTCCCTGCATAAGTTTTGGAAATATGTAGTTCTTCAAACTTGGCTGTTTCATGAACTTTTTATTTCCGTAGTCTAGCATTATTTTCCCCATTTTCTGGGTATATATATTTGAAGGGTTGTCCCTGGATTTCAAAGTGGGAAATCATTAAGATAGAGGCTTTTCTCTTACTTTCTCCAGGACCTTATAATGATGTAAGAGCACTTACATGGGAGCCTTCCTGACCTTAAGATATATGTCCTTCCTGACCTTAAGATATATGCTTCAATCTTCATAGGTGACACATTATTTTAATGATGGTTGGATTGATGTGAGGGTATTGAGGTTCACTATCAGAATGTTGTGCATTGTGTAAATATAGGGAATATGGACTGGCGTGGCAAAATGCGATGCCTTCCGTAGATTAGGGCATATGGACATATGGACCAGATGCGGTACATCAATTTACACTTCATAATTAAGATTTTTACATAATGGTTGCTTTATGATTTATTTCCGCAAAAAGTGAGCACCGCAAAAACTAGAACAGGATAAGTAACGAGTGCTTTGTAGGAATCTAGAACTCGCTCCTATTCATGACCATATGCGATGAAGAACACTAAATGCGCTGGTTAGCAGAAGTAATAAGATTATACTTAAAGTGGGCAAGGAGAACTACGAGTCAAGAGATAGCATAAGGGAACTTGGAAGCAAATTAAGAAGGATATGCTAATACTAATTTAAACAAATTAGGATGCCCTTAACAGAACTGTTGTGAGGAATAGGATTTATGTACCTGACCCAAACAATTCGGGATAAAGCCTTGTTTTGTTAATGTAACAAAGGGGGTTTCTTGTTTTAATCCTTTTTATCTCGAGAAAGTAAAATTGTCCATGACCGAAGATTACTTTTTTCATTTTTTTTTTTGATAAATGGATTCTCTACTGCAAAATAACCCCCATCTTTGTACCGAGTGTTGATTCTGACTTGGATGCCATGCATTTCACGTCTCAGATCACAACACCAGCAACACCGGCCGCTGCTCCTGAAGGCAGGACTGCGCAGCCTGCTTCTCCTGATTCTGCCAAGTAGCGACAGCAGCGAGCGAGGCTGATCAATTTCGCCATCAAGCTTGATTCGGGCTTGCACTTCATATAGTACAGTCTTGCAAGATTATTCTGCGCGTGTTGTTGATTACTGAGTTGAAGCTGCACGGGTTTATAACTTGCTTCTAGAACTCTTTGGCATGGTTCGAATTAATTTGTTTAGAGGAAGGCAATAAAAAATGTTTCTGTTAACGCGTATAATTTATTGTGTCATTGATGTAAACTGAAGAGACTTCTCGCATTCATGATTATTTTCATCATATATATAATGTAGCACATATATTTTCTAATTATTGCTTTTTTTTCTTTTTTGGTTTGACGAGGGAACTTCTCGATGATTTTTCGAACCATGGGTATCAAATCTCCGGGCGTGGTTAAGGGCCACCCTCTAAAGCACGGTCTCGAGTATTCCAGGAAATCAAATTAATCTAAGATCAGCTTATCAACTCGGCTAGACCCTCTTGGAAGGAATTGAGATGTCTGACCCATCTAACTCGGTCAATTCATGTTGCTCATCCACGTCATTTTGATCACGTTCTCAAGGAGTTAAAAGGAGTCTGCTCTCGTTTAAAGATGTAAAAAAGATTCAAATTCTCTGAGTAAGATCAAAGTCAAAGGCGGGAAGACAAATGACCTTGTGACCCCTACATTTTTAATTTATATATAAACCACTGTCAGCCACACTTGGGTCTAGTAGGTTTGGGATCCAACCCCAAATGAATTCATAATAATATTCAACGAGCCGTAATTTTAAATACGTAGCTTCAGTCGTATATATGATCCGAAGCCAGCCCAAAAAGGGTTGGATCCAAAAAAGGCAACGAATTTCCTCGCTTATTATATGCAAATTATACACAAATAATTTTCAGGAGGAGTGGGGTGTCGAGTCCCAATCCCAATACGAATCTGCTCCCTTTTATTAGGTGCAAAGCTGAGCTCTCTCCGATCTCAACGAGAGGGGGACGAAAATGATGGGATTTCAATCGACGCCCTGGGACGCCCTGAGGAGCCAAGTAAGTTTTTTCTTTCATCTGATTAGATGCAAGATCTCAATTTTCATAAAATTTTGTTTTTTTTAAAACATAAATTTATGAAGGGGGGGCATTAGTTGGATCTTTCTAACCTAAGTGAGGCCGTTAGAAGCACTTTTAGATGACAGCATGACGATGCTCGATGGATCTGCACGGATCCAATCTGTCGAGCGTTAGGTTTAGGTTTGAGGTTGAGGTGAATTCCAGTCTTTTTACCCGTGGAAAAGTGTAATTTTGATCAATTAGACTCTTGGAAAATTCCAGTCTTTTTACCTGTGGAAAAGTCTTTTTACGCTTATATGCTTGACTTTATTCTTATTTAATATTTTTAGTAAAACTGAGTGCATGGCTCTGAATCTTCGATTGGAAAAAAAAAAAGGAAGATGAAGGGGTTGTGGCGGTTCGAGAGGAAAGGAGGGTTATTTCTTGTCAACTGACTTATACACCGTTAATTTAGTAACAATGTTGTATTTGGAGGGTATAGTAGCTCAAAATTGAAGATTTGGGGGGGTAAGTATGCAACTATGGAAGATCTGGGGGTATATAGCCAAATAAGTAGCATCTTCACGTTCGTATAAAGTAGGAAAAAGAGTTGCATCATGGTCTAGCTTTTCTACTCCATCGTTATAAAACTTGGGCAGTTTTTGATAACATGTACAACTCCCAGAAAGAAAAAGAGAAGGAAAAAAAAAAGGGTTTGTTATGCTTGAACTTGTAAAAGTTAATAACTGTAAATGATGAAGTTAAAGTTTCTACGTTTACGTGGCTCTTATGGTCCAAGTAAGGTGTATTAGAGAGGGAATATTTATGGATACTCTTAAGGCTTAGGAGAGGATAAATTCTCAGGTTTCCCCTTTTATATCCAGTCTTAGTTTTCGTTTCTTCCCATTACGACATTGTCATGAGTAAAAGAAGAAGCGACAGAGGGATCATTTATTTGTTGATAAGCATATTGTTGATTGTGTGCAGCATGACAAACCTTGTTCCCTTTGTTCCTATGCACCTCTAGCAATAAAATTTCATCAGCATGTTCGGTTTTCTTCGTATTTTCTAGAATTTTCTTTAATCAAAATCCATTTTCCAATTCTATGGGATCTTAAAATTTGAAACATA